TATTTATATATTATATATATTTATATATATTATTATATATATTATTATATATATATATAATTATACAATGGGATCTTTGTATAATTGAAACCCAAGCACAAAAATGTGTAAGTCTGCAACTGTACCTCATGATGTCTCACTATTAAAAAAATTTTTAATAAAAAAAAGAATAAAAAAATAAAATAAAATAAGGCTTCTCTCTCCCCTCCCCCCCAAAAATAGTGCTGCAATAGATACAGGAGCACAGAGAGCTTTTCAAGGTCACATTTCATTTGGACAAAAACACAGAAATGGAGATAACTGCATCACAAGGTCGATTTAGTAGAGTGTTTTTTTCTCTTTAAAGAAACTCCATCTATTTTCTATGACAGTGACATCAATTTATATTCCCCTACTCACATCTTCACCCACATTTGTTATCTGATGTCCATTTTATGCCAACCCTTCTAAAAGGTGTGGGTTTGGATGATTTGAAGATGATCCTTTGTCCTCTCTCCCGTATGTAGCAGGTACCATTTTGGGTACTCATTCAGATAATGTTTTCCTGCTGGGAACTATAAACTGCAAATACCATTAAACCTTAAAAATATTTAAGGCCAAATTTTTAATCGGGTGTGATAGTTCCTAAATTGCTCCTCCTAATCATTTTCTGTCTTTTTTGGCTCAGTTTGGTGAAATAAGAGCATAGCAGCTAATTATAAAACTTAGCACAGCGGTAGGGCGTTGGCCTTGCACACAGCCAACATGGTCGACCCGAGTTCGATTCCTCCGCCCCTCTCGGAGAGCCCGGCAAGCTACCGACAGTATTCGATATGCCAGACACAGTAACAACAAAGTCTCCAATGGAGATGTTACTGGGCCCCCTCGAGCAAATCGATGATCAATGGGAGGGCCTTTACTTTTTTTTTTTACTTAGAGTAACTTTTGAGTTGTCTCTATGGTTACTAAAGTGTTTCGATTGATATTTTTTAACTACTTTAACTTTTTTAAATAAAAATCTTTGGGACCACTATTATTACAGTAAGCTCTGGGTAAGGACTGAAAGTACATGGCAGGGTTATAGCAACCCTACTGGTTGTTAGTACACGTACGGGTGCATTCTTAAGACTTTATGGGGAAGAAATAATTTTTATAATGCTGTAGATTTAGTTGGATTTATTTGGCTCTGTTCTTGTCAGATACATAGAATAGATATTTCCACATGTGGGGTGGGGGAGGAATACTTTATATTTTATTTTTCTATGTTTAAAATTACCTCCTGTGGTTAAATGAAAAAATAAAAGGTGTGAGTTTTGACTTGCAATGTCCCTGATGATTAGCAGTATTGCCTTTTTTCATCTATCTATCAGTAAATTTATGTTCTTTGAAAGACTTATAAATGGCTCCTATGCCAATTTTGAAATCAGATATTTGGTGGGATGGCTGTTTGGTTTTTGATTTTTTTCCTGTTGAGTCATATAAGTTCTTGCTATGTTTTGGATATTAACTACCCTTTATCAGATATATGCTTTGGAAATATTTCATTTCATTCTGTAGAGTTCCCCTTTATTTTTCTGGTAGTTTCCTTCATGTAAGAGGATTTTTTTAGTTTGATACAATCCCACTCGCTTATGTTTGCTTTTGTTTTCTTTGTTTCTGCTGTCAAATAAAAAACAACCATGCCAAAATCAAAGTCAAAGAGTTTTCCCTTAGATTTTCTCCTAGGAGTTTTGTGGTTTCATGATTTTACAATTTGATCTTAATCAATTTTGTGTTGACTTTGATATACACAGCAAGATAGGAGTCCTGTTTTGTTATTTTAAAATGTGGTTTCCCAGATTTCTCAAAATTATTTGTTGGCGAGACTACCATTGTCCCATTGTGTGTTCTTGGGTTAAAAGTCTTAGTTAAGAATAGTATTTTAATTTGATCCTGACAAAGCAGCTGTGGACTACAGCCTTCATTTATCTGTATAAGGAAAAAGCACCCATTTTGAAAAAGCAAGGACTCCTTTCTTGAGAGGTGTGATGAGTTGAACTGTATCCCCCGCAAGCTTCTAGATTCATATATTACATTTCTAATTCCTACTATGTCAGACTAGGGTCACTCCAAATATACTTTGAGAAGATCATACAAACAGAGGAAATTGGGTCCTTAAGCCATGTATGTATGTATGTATGTATGCATGGATGTATGTATGTAGTATGACTAGTCCTTATTAAAGGGAAATTTGGACAGAGACATTCACACACTTTGTGAACATAAAGACAGAGACATCAGGGGAAAGCAGGAAATTTACCAGAGACTAAGAGAAGGGCATAAAGCACATCCTCCTCACAACTGTCAGAAGGGCCAGCCCTGCCAGCACCTTTATTTCAGCCTCTATCTTCCTGTAGGATGTGGCAATATATTTCTGTCATCTTAGTCCCCAGTTTTGGGGATTTTGTTGCAGCAACCTTAGAAAAACTAATATAGGAAGTTATCTCATCCTCTTAAGTTAAGATTAAATTAATTCTTTTGGAAAATCATCTATTGCTTCTTTTTAATTTTTAGAGAAAAGAGGGCCTGGAGAGATAGCACAGCGGGTAGGGCGTTTGCCTTGCACGCAGCCGACCTAGGTTCAATTCCCAGCAACCCATATGGTCCCCTGAGCACCGCCGGGGTAATTCCTGAGTGCAGAGCCAGGAGTAACCACCCCTGTGCATCACCAGGTGTCACCCAAAAAGCAAAATAAATAAATAAATAAATAAAAAGTTAAAAAATAAGAGAAAAGAAATAAATACCTATTTACCTTGTATGCAATAACCTGGGTTTGCCTGCCTGAAGTGAACCCTGAGCACAAAGCTAGGAGTAGGTCCCTGAGCACTGCTGAGTGTGTCCCCAGAACAAACAAAGATCTTGTTTGGGGATGCTCAGCATTTTTAGAACAGGAGCTGATTTTCTATAGTGTACAACACCCCCTACCATACTATGAAGTGCAATTTGCTTTACTCAAAGTCCACCAGTCTTAACAATTTTAATGTAAATCTCAATCAAAAACACCTCACAGTGGGGTTCGAGTGATAGTACAATGGGGAGGGCGTTTGCCTTGCACGCAGCCAATCCAGATTCTAGCTCTGGCATCCCATATGCCCCCCCCCCCAGCACCACCAGGAGTAATTCCCTCCTGAGCCTTTCCAAGTGTGGCCCTGTGCCACCAAAAAAAAAAAATCACCCTTTACAGAAACTCCAGAGTATTTTTTAACCTACCCAACTGACATAAAACAGTGTTTTTCACACCTATTGTTTTATTTTCTAATCATCTCTTTGGCGATTTTACTATATTTAAGCCAGTGTTTAGCGCATCTATTGTTTTATTTCCTAACCAACTCCTTGCCGATCTTACTATATTTCTGGGCAAATGGAAGATTTTCTCTCATGTAAGTCATGGTAAATGAAAAAATGTCTTCACAATTTTACATAAGGTGGTAAATCCAATGCAATTTAGAATACAAGGTAAAGGCAACCTTTGGTGAGCAACTGAACATTAGAGCAAAGGAAAGGAAAACAAGCCAGTGAGAAGGCAGTGTGAGAGGGAGAGAAATGCATCTGCGTTTACAGAGAGAAAGAATCTCAGGCCAACATTGCCAATGCTGTCAGAAATGGGCATCAGGGTCCAATTTTGAGACACGTTCATCTGGGTGGACACCCAGAATAGAAAGAGAGCAAGCTCCATGTGAGCTAATTGAGAAGCACTTAATAAAAACAACAGCTTCATTGAGATATGATTTATGTACTATACACAATCATAATATGATATCATAATCAATAATATGATATTGGAGTTACAAGCGTCAATGTGTACCTGGGTTCCATAAGGGCAAAGAGTGTGGATGTTTGAAAACTATTTTCCTTCCTAGGTTCAAAAACACTTGAGAAAGAGGAGAGTCCAAAAAACAAAGGTCAAAATGCACTGGAACTGGGGCTGGAGCGATGGCACAGTGGGTAGGGCGTCTGCCTTGCACGCAGCCAACATGGCCGACACAGGTTCGATTCCCAGCATCCCATATGGTCCCCTGAGCACCGCCAGGAGCAATTCCTGAGTGCATGAGCCAAGAGTAACTCCTGAGCATCGCCGGGTGTGACCCAAAAAGCCAAAAAAAAAAAATGCACTGGAACTAAGACCTATCAAGGAATACAACCAGCTTGTGGATCAATCCAACTCATACATGCACGTGGTAACAAAGCCAAAATAAATAACCCAGTATTCACCAACTCATGAGTGGATATACTGTACACAGAAAAGAACATTATTTATTCCCTTACAAAAAATAAACAAAATAAGCAAATCTACAGAGACAGAAAGTAGGCTCGTGGTTCCTTACGAATGAGAGCCTGGAATGTAATGGGGAATATTAGTTAATGAATTAGTTAATTAGTTATTTAGTTAATATTAGTTAATATTCTTATAGGAATCATAAAATGCTCCAAAAATTGTCGTGGTGCTAGCTTAACTTTGTAAATGTACTTAACATCATTGAATCGCTTTAAAATATGATTGTGTATAGTACATAAATCATATCTCAATAAAGCAGTTGTTTTTTTTCAGCTTATAATTTTAACATTTGGAACTGTAATTTATTGTGTGAAATCTTGTCGGGGTTTCCACTTTGATTTATAACGCCCCTGGTGCTTGCTCCAGCACAGTTATCTGTGGTGGTTTCTAGCTACTGGCAACATGCCTTGTTGCTGTCTCTGAAATCAACTTAGCTCTTGGACAGTGCAAAGTTGAAGAACTTTTTTGCTACATGATTCTTGACAAGACCTGGAAAAATAAGACTATTTTATATTTAAAAAAACAAACAACCACCCCCCCCCTCCAAAACAGGAGACAAACATTAGTCCACAATGCAAGATTTTTTTTGAAAGAAACCTGTTTTAGTAATATTTCTGTTTCTTTTATTAGAATAGAAAGTCATCAACCCATCACATTTGTTATATTTTTCTTTCATTAGTTACAGGATCTAACTCCATATATTATTTTACATGGGAACAATAGGATTCTGGGTTAATGAGTAGAGTTCTTCTTTCATATGTGAATTACCGTAAATCCCACTTTCATCCTGCCAAGTGTTGATGCCAAATCTTTTGGAACCATTTAGATCTGTGAACTGAGAACGGCATTTTCTGTGGACCATCGAATACTCACACGGAGGAGAATAATCCTACAAAAGGAAATGAGAAAAAAATATTAAATGACTGAAATAAGTAGAAAGCACACTCAGTAGTGCTCAGGGCTTACAACTGTCTCTGTGCTCAGGGATCACTCCAGGTGGTGCTCAGCGGAGAATATGTGGTGCCAAGTATTGAACCTGGTCAGCTGCATACAAGGCAAGGGCCCTCCCTATGTACTATCTCTCAGTCAGCTCTCCGCCCTTACAGTATCTGTAAGAAAATATCAGGAAGAGAGAATTTAAACATTGCCAAAATTAACTGACTCCTCCAGGCCTACAAACACACTGTTTATCCCATTTTCCTTCCAGGAATTTCATGAAAGTCTTTTAAAAATTTTGGGTGGGTTGTTTTTGTTTTAGGGCCATACCTGGCAATGCTCAGGGGTTACTCCTGACTCCTCACTTAAGAATTATTTCTAACGATATTTGGGGACCATATGGAAAGCTAGGGATTAAACCTGGGACAGTCACACACAAGGCAAATGCCCTACCTGCCATGTTGTCTCTCCAGCCTGTCACAAAACTCTTAATAAGAAACAATACAAAATCTGATAACAAAGTCACAAAGCCTTATAATATTTGTGTGACTTTATATAAAAGAGAGATGTCATTGGGGCCTTTTGGGGGTTTCTTTCTTCTTCTTCTTCTTCTTCTTCTTCTTCTTCTTCTTCTTCTTCTTCTTCTTCTTCTTCTTCTTCTTCTTCTTCTTCCTCTTCTTCTTCTTCTTCCTCTTCCTCCTCCTCCTCCTCTTCCTCCTCCTCTCTTCCTCTTCCTCTTCTTCTTCTTCTACTTCCTTCTCCTTCTCCTCCTCCTCCTCCCCCTCCTCCACCTCCTCCTCCTCCTCATCCTCCTCCTCCGCCTCTTCTTCTTCTTCTTCTTCTTCTTCTTCTTCTTCTTCTTCTTCTTCTTCTTCTTCTTCTTCTTCTTCTTCTTCCTCCTTCTCCTCCTCCTCTTCCTCCTCCTCCTCCTCCTCCTCTTCTTCTTCTTTTTTATCAGATTAGGATCTGTTTCAGAGATTTGAGCATCACCTACTCAGAGGGAGCAGGACCTGCTCGTTTCTACTCCAGCTGTGTCCCAGTGAGAGATCTGGAGAGCTTCAAACACCTGCTCCGTGAGTTCCTAGCATCTTTTATGCACAGAGAAGGATTTATGTAGATGAGCTCACTGACATAATTGACTGTGACCTTTCAGGAAAAGGATTCTGGGAGCAGAAAGTACTGAAGACCAGAGGTGGAAATAAATGAATTCCAGTACTGTGAGGAGAATGGGAATCTCAACAAATCATCCTCTGAAAGACAGATGAACAAAATGTAGCCTGTCCACACACTGAGACCTGACTTGGCAAAGAAATGTCAGATGCTATAATTTTGGAAACCTTTTAAAATTTTATTTGATGCACTGACTTACAATACCTTTAGCGATCGGATTTCATGCAGACAACGTTTTAACACCACAACTCCCTCCAGAGCATCACCTTCCTTCCACCCTGATTTTAGTGTCCCCTCCCCGGCCCCTCCCCCACTGGGTTGTGCTCAGTTCTGTAGACCAGTTCTCATTTTCTGTTACCTTTGGTCATTTGTTTCCTTGCTGTAATTCTAAATATCCCACATATGAAACCCTTTTACTTTCTCTTTTTGGGTCACACCTGTCAATGCACAGGGTGTACTCCTGGCTTTGCACTCAGGAATTACTCCTGGCGGTGCTCAGAGAATCCTATGGGATGCTGGGAATTGAACCTGGGCCGGCCACGTGCAAGGCAAATGCCCCTGCTGTGCTATTGCTTCAGCCCCCCACGTATAAAACCTTTATGCTAAGTGAAAGACCCTATACCAAAAAGCCACACTTAGAGTTCTGAAACGAAATGTCCAAATTAAGGAAGTGCACAGAGACAGAAGGTGATTTAGTCAGGAGACAGGTGGGGGGTGGGGGTGGGATGATGACTGTCAGTGGGTAGAATTGCTGATTTTAGGTGTAAATTGGTTGGATTGTGGGGAATACTGGCATTTGGCTAAGCGTTTCTAACTTGGTCTGTGAGGCTTTTCAAGATGAAATGAGCATTAAATTGGTGGGTTTAGTAAAGCAGTTTGCCCTCCCTAATGTGGTAGGCATTGTTTGAAACACTGAGAACCTGAGCAGAAGGAAATGATAGAGGATGTCAGAATTTGTCCCCTTTTGGCCTGACTATTGGGCTGAGACATTAATCTTTAGGGGACTGGAGGAGAAAGGGTCATACTCCGTGGGGCTCAGGATCCAGTTCTGTGTCCAGTTCTGGCTCTGTGCTCAGAAGGGAGCCCTGGTGGTGCTTGGGGGACCAGGGATTCAAATGAAGGGAGAGCGGGGGGTGTGGGATGCAGGATTATCTCTCTGGCCCTGAGATATTAATCTTTGTATTCCACTCGTCGGTACTCTTCATTCGGTACTCTTGTCTAAGTCTTCAAACTTAGACAAAATCATATCTCCAGCTTCCTGGGTTTCCAGCTTGCAGGCAGCAGATCATAAACTCGTCCTCCATAAGGTATGAGGCAATTCCTTAGAATTATAAGCCAACCCCTCACAATCAATTAAATATGTGTATAAGGATATAGACATGGGTTTCTTTGGGAATGATGAACTTCTGAAATTTATTGTGGTAATGATTTCTGACTCTGTGGATGTATAAAAAAATGGCAATTTGGATGCTTTAAAGGGATGGCTCTATGATACATGGATTATATCTCAGGAATGCTGTTGTATTTTTTTAAGTGGTAAGTAGCAGCGAGAGACATTCCTTGCTGGTACCCAACAGGGGTTCAATTTCCAGAATCACAGGGCCTCCAGTACATTGTAAAGTGTTCCATAAAGGTCCCTGAGCATTGCTAGAGTGATGCTAGTGGCCCCTGACATCCCAGGGCTGAACCAGCATCACATTCCCAGGCACCAGCACTGAACTGCAAGCTCAGTTGGCTAAGTATTGGCAAGAGTAGCCTCTGGGGCCCCTGGAAAATGCTTAGGAGAACCCTTTCATGCAAAAAAACCCCCCCAAAAAACAAAAAAAAAACCCAAAAAACCTAAAACACATATAGCATGAAGTTGAACAGAAAAAAATCAGGCCCAGCACCTTTAATTCTGACTGCTTAGACCGAAGGCCAAATTATGATGAGGGTATCCTAGAAAATCAATTACCACTGAATTGTCTAATTATATTTAGGGAGGTGCTCAGATGCTCCTTGCAATATTTGATTCTGCTTTGCTCTGTTGCCCATGCCTATTGGTGCTTGGAGACTACCAAGAATAAAGGCCCTCCCGTTGATCGTCGATTTGCTCGAGCGGGCCCAGTAACGTCTCCATTGGAGACTTTGTTGTTACTGTGTCTGGCATATCGAATACTCTCGGTAGCTTGCCGGGCTCAGGATGGCCGAGTGGTCTAAGGCGCCAGACCAAGAATACAACTTGTATTTTTTTTTTTTTTTGCTTTTTGGGTCACACCCATGTTGCACAGGGGTTACTCCTGGCTCCTGCACTCAGGAATTGCTCCTGGCAGTGCTCGAGGGACCATACAGGATGTTGGGAAATGAACCCAGGTCAACCACATAAGGCAAATGCCATACCCACTGTGCTATCACTCGCTCCAACCCCAACTGGTAGTATTTCAGGGACCATGTGATGCCAGGGGTCTAACTTGGAACTTCTGCATATAATGAATTCACTTCCTCCCCAAGCCCAAGCCATTACTTTTATGGATCGTCTAAACCAAGTATGCAGGAATCAGTCAATTCAGAATCACTAGTAGTTTGGCCTCTTTTGATGTATATAACTGTCTCTTAGTCCTAGGATACATTAAATCTTTTCCCAGAAAAAAAAGGCAAACTACGAGCAGAAAAATGTCAAACTAAGAGCAACCTAGAAGCTTCTCATGTGCAAAATGGGAGTTTTGCAACAAGATCATAATCTTGCCATGAAGCTCACGGTTATAAGGACTTTAGAATACCAATGATAAAACACAGGTCATTTGGATCACAGAGTTCTACATTAGATAATACTTTTTAAATGTTTGCCATGAAGAATGAATTAAATGCAATTTGAAGTGAAAGAAAAACGCAAAGAGAGTCTGGAGAACTGTAGGTAGGAAAGAAAAAACATGGAAAAGGAAAGCATGAGAGTGCAAAGAGCCAATGATTTCCCAATTTCTCTGCTGCTGGATTTGAATCTGTCAGAGTTCCTTTGACCTGAATAGGGAGAACTTTAGAGAAATGAGATCCATGGGAGAGGTTGTCAGTCCTGAGTCACTTTGGTTTCCTACATCCCAGAAAAGATTCTGAAATAGCTGCAAGTCTGCAAAAGAGATTCTGCTTTCAGCTACACTCCAAGCCTTGAGCTGAGACAAAACAGGAGTCTTCAAGTCTTTGGTGGGGTCAACAGTATCAACAGAGCAGAAATAAGCCTGAATCATCCCAAATGTGTCCCCTGGGCTCTAAATAAAATCATCATTCAAGTATGTAAGGGGTGGGATTCACAGCATGCTCCTCTGAGTAAGCACAGGCTGACTGTTAAATACAATGAGAATGTTCTTGGGATCAAAGGAAATGTTCTTGGAGCTTGCCTTGCACATAGATGACCTGGGTTCAATCCCCAGCACCCCATATGTTCTGCCAAGTCTGCCAGGAGTAATCAATGAGAACGGAGTCAGGGGTAAGCCCTGAGCACAGCTTGGAGTGGCCCCAAAACAAACCAAAAACACCTCAAATAAATAAATAGTTAAAATAAATAAAAACATTGAGAATGTTCTGTGTTTCTTGACTTTTCTTCTAGATACCATTCTTTTTCAGAGAAAACCATAGATAGAAAGTACAAAGAATAACTCAATCATGAACAACTTTGTGTACCTCACGATGATTCTATAAAAATAAAGAAAAGAAAAGAAAAAAAAGAAGGAAAGAAGGAAAGAAAAAGAAAGAAGGAAGGAAGGAAGGAAGGAAGGAAGGAAGGAAGGAAGAAAGAAAGAAAAAAGAAAG